TTTGTTTTGAGACAGGGTCTTGCTATGCACTTTAGGCTGGACTTGAGCTCACTTTGTAGCCCAGGCTGATCTTGAATTTGCAATGATCCTCCTGCCTCAGCCTCCCAAGTGCTGAAATTACAGACATGCATCACCACACTAGGCTTGCCCTTTACTTTGGAGAGGATAGTCAGCATGCCCTGTACTCTTAGGAACTTGGCTTATGTTTTTTGTTTGTTTGTTTGTTTGTTTGTTTTAATTCGGTACTGGGATTGAACCTGCGAAGCACTGAGCTACATCTGCAACCCTTTTTTACATTTGTAATCTGAGATAGGGGCTCACTAAGTTGTCCAGGCTGGCCCTGAATTTGTGATCCTCCTGCCACAGTCTTTCAGAGTTCTGGGATTACAGGTATGTGCCACCATGCCAGGCAGCACTTTCTACCATCTCTCCGGGCATCTCCTTAGCTAGTCTTGGATGTTTTTTTATTGACTTTTTTTATTTTATTTATTTATTTAGTACAGGAAATAGAACAAATGCACATGCTAAGCATGGGCTCTATTACTGAGCTACATCCTTAGCCCAATTTTCTCATTTTAATGTAAACTAACATACAGTAAATTTGACTTTTTTGGTGTATGTTTCCATGTGTTGTAATACACATATAGATTTATGAAACTCCATCATCATCAGGACAGAAAAGTTTCCTCACCCCCCAAAAGGTACCTGACATTCTTCTCCCACCCCAATCGCTGATTTATTATCAGTGGTTATTGTTGCCTCCATAAAAGTGTCATATAAATACATAAGCATGTGTGATTAAATTAATCATAACCTTTTGTGATTAAATTCTTTTTTTTTTCTTGAGATAGGGTCTCACTATGTAGTTCAAGCTGCCCTTGAACTCACTATGTAGTCCAGACTGGTCTCAAACTTGCAGCAATCCTCCTGCATCAGCCTCCCAAGTGGAGTGCTGAGACAGGCAAGCACAGCCATGCCCAGCCTTTTTTGCTTGTTTTTTGTTTTTGAGACAAGGTCTTGCTATGTAGTCCAGGCTGGTCTTGAACTCAGTATATAGCTTAGGCTAGCCTCAAACTCATGGTGATCCTCCTGCTTCAGCCTCCCAGTTGCTGAGATTACAGGTGCGTGCCACCACACCTGGCCTGTGAGTGAAGTCTTTCACGCAGCATGGTGTCTTCAAGATTCATCCATGTTGTTCCATATATTCCTGCTGCTTTACGCTCCCCCATATTTCCTTCCTATTTATGGCAGAGTAGTATTCTATAGCGTAGATGTAGCAAAGTATGTTTATTCATTCTACAGGCAATGAACATTGGGGTGATTTTCAAGATCTAATCATGATATTGCAGAAAAACCAATATCAAACCAAATGGAAAATTAAAAAAAAAAAACCAAATGGAAAATTCATTGCACTGAGGAGCTGAAAGGCAACTTTTATTATGCTAGTGGGCTGGGGAACCCAGAGGTTCAAATCACCAGCCCAGAGTCAGGTTTGAGTTCAGTTTACATCTGGTTGTCAAGTGAGAAGTACAAAGCTGATAGCAGGTTATTACATGATTGGTTGCATGGAGTACAAGAATTATGTCATACGTTGTCAGGCAGGTTTGTACAGGAACATTCTGGGAAGGAGGGGATCTGAGAAGAGAGCAGGTAGAGATGAAAGTGTCCTTGACTGGACCAGTCTTCCCCAAACATGACAGCCTTGAAGCCCTTGAAGCAAGCTGGAATCACTGAATATTTTTTAAAAATGAGGTGGACACAGTCAGTTTGATCCCACACAGCATTAAGGGGGATCATCTGGACCTAGACAGTCAAGGCTGGCTTTATGACCGGCAGCATAAATATAGTCACAGACTGTGAACTGATTTCAAACTTCTGTTATAATATGCCCACAAGTCTGCTATTCTGTAAGTGTGCTCTAACAACGATAAACAGATCTGCACTACTCATTTGTGTACAGCATTCCACATGAGCAGAGTTTTTCATTTCTCTAGGATAAATACCCAGGAACAGAGTTGCTCATTTCTAGGATATGTGTATGTTTAACTTTATAAGATGAATTCTTTATATTTATAATTAACAGTTAAACTGGGCATGGTGGTGCATACCTGTAATCCCAGCACTTGGGAGCCTGAGGCAGGAGGATCTTTGTGAGTTCGAGGCCAACCTGGGCTACAAAGTGAGTTCCAGGACAGCCTAAACTGCATAGTGAGACTCTGTCTCAGAAAAGACAAAACAGACAAACAAAAAAACCGCGAAAAACAAACAGTTAATTCTCTAGCATAGTTTGTTTTTCTTGTTTTACTTTTTTTGGTGTCAGGAATCAAACTCAGGACCTTGCACTTGCCAGGCAGGCACTTGTGCCTGCTGAGCTAGATTCTCACCCCTTTATTTATTTTTTAAATATTTATTTATTTGCCGGGTGTGGTGGCGCAATCCTGTAATCCTAGCACTCGGGAGCCTGAGGCAGGAGGATTGCCTTGAGTCTGAGGCTAGCCTGGGCTACATAAGTGAGTTTAAGGCCCACCTGCTCTACACAGTGAGATCTTGTCTCAAAAAACAAACAAAAGGATTATTTATATTTCATTATGGGAAAGTATTAAACCCAGAGCCTTTGCACTGAGCTACATTTAAGTCCTTTTAAATTTTTTTTCTTTTTCAACTTTGAGACAAGGCCTCACTAAATTGCTAAATTGCCCACACTGACCTTGAACTTTTATGTCCTCCTGCCTCAGCCTCCCAGAGTTCTGGGATTAAAAGTGTGCACCACTATGCCTGTTCTCTTTCACTGTAGTAGCTACAAGAAAGCCAGGCAGCACTTTCTACCCGCTCTCTCTGCATCTCCTTAGCTAGCTCATCTTACTCATGCGTTCCCTTGTGCTCTTCTACTACAGGGGACAATATTGCTAAATCTCTTGCCAAAACAATCAGCTGAATAAAAGCACTGCAGTCACTGGGGCCCTCCTCCTCCCTCCCTCCCTCCCTCACTTCTCCTCCTCCTCCTCCTCATTCTCCTTCTTCCTTACTTCTCCCATCAGGAACGAGAGCTCCATCTGGTCTCAGTTTTCTGTAAAACAAAAACAGAAACAAACAAAAAAATCAGCTGTCTCCTTTCCTCTACTTTGCAACTTTTTCTTTTTCCTTTAGGTCTGCACTCTCAGCCTTGGCAAGATCTTCTCATTGCTGACCCACTGCCTAGTACTTTACATAAAGCCAATGCCACCTGATTCAGATTTCTGTCAGCAGAACCCCATTTCTAGGACCCACCCCTATTTGGCTCTCCATAGGCACATCATGAACCACATCAAATTCAGCACTGTGGAGACATCCAGTCATCCAGTGTTTCTGTCAAGTAGTTGTGGATCTTGACCAGGCTTAGCGAGGTGACTCACTTTGGTACGGCACGTGGTGGCAGTCAGATTGTGGCTGTACCTAGAGCCCTCGCAACGTTTTCCTTACCACCTGTAGATCCTCAGTAAGGATTCACATCCTCTCTTGTGCTTCCTGACAGCATAGTGCATGGCTGTGAAGAGCAATATCCCAAAATAAGGCAGGAGAGGGGAGGGAAGGAAGGAGGAAGAGAGCAGGAGAAGAGAGAGAGAGAGAGATAGACGCCTTGGCTTCAGAAACCACACAATGCCATTTCTGATGCATCCTATTGACTCGAAGCTAGTCTAGCCCATTTTTACTCTTTTTTTTTTTTCTTTTTGCTATTGGTTTTATTTTTGAAATGTGGTCTTGTATTGCCCAGACTGGTCTTGAACTGTTGGCCGAAGTGGTCTTCTTACCTTGTCCCAGGTGTCTGGGACTGCAGATAGGCTCTACTACACCCACTTAAGTTCAGCTCATTATTTTTGTTTTGGGTTCTGAAGAGTGCCAAGCTATATCCCCAGGCCTGTTTTTTTGTTTGTTTGTTTGTTGTTGTTGTTGTTGTTAATTTTCTCACTACCTTATCCAGGTTGCTGCAAACTCATGATTCTCCTACCTCAGCCTCCCAAGTAGCTGGGACTACAGATGTGTGCCGCTGAAAGCAGTTAAATCCACTTATCAAGGGGGACATGCAGACGGGAAGGTGGAGAGACTGTGTGTTTTGGAGGGTAGATAGGTGGGTAGGTGGCCCATTTATGAAGACAGGGAATAGCAGCCAAAGAACAGATTTTTGAGAAGATCTTGAGGTCATTCCTGGCATGGTGACAAGGAAATGTTCCCTGGGGATGGAAACGGAGACATGGAGCAAGCTTCCAGAAACACTAACTTGGAACAGGCTGAAATTGGACTCACAAACTGGAGGAAGTCATCCAGGGGGAAATGGCGTGGGATGAAGGCCTGGCCAGGGCCGAGTACGGGACACAGAAGCTGCTCCTGTGGCCTTCATGTCCACTGACCCTGCTGTTCACATCCTAGTGGAGCTCTGACTCCGGTGTATGGTAGACTCCCTAGTGGTTCTTGTGATGGATGAATGTCTCTCAGGGGGCCAGACCTTGGATGGGGTCGGAAGCTTTCTCTGATCCAAGAAAGAAGGCAGAGAATTGGGAGCAAGGGACAGCCACAGCTTCCTTCCTTCCACATGGGAATTTCCTCCATGAGACTGAGACCCAGGCTCCAAAGTAGGTGAGAGGTTTGGGGCCAAGTGCGGTGGGACCACGAAGTTGCCCAGCGTACTGGGCCGCATCCAAGGTTTGAGACTGGGAATTTGGAGTTCAGAAGCCTGCTCGGCTTGCGTGGGTTTCTCCAGAAGCGCTCACTCCCCGTGAAAGGGGCTCAAAAGAGTCCAGGAGCCCGCCCTGGCCTGGAGGGACACAGCGGGGTTAGGGTCAAGGGCGGCCGCCGCGCTTTGGGGCTTTGGGGACTGGCGGGGCAGATGTCCACGGACGGCGACTGCCCCATAGGAAGGAGAGGCGGCCTTCCACGCCCTCCACGCCTTCCCCGGAGGCCACGGCGCGTGAGCCTACCCTGAGTGGACGGGAGGACCCCGAGGGGGCGCAGGGCTCCTTCCCCCCATGCGGCCGCCCCCGCGCGCCCGGGCGGAGCAAGTTTTCCCGCGCCGCCGCCCAAGTCGGGGATTAGCGCGCTGCGGCTGGCGCGGCGGGATTAGCCCGCGTGGACTCGGCGCCCGGCCCGGGGATTACCGCGCGCTCCCCCCGACGTATATATTCCTGCCTCGGCCGCCACCCGCCCGGCCGGGCATGGCGGCGGCGAGGGGCGCGGCCAGTCGCGGGGGCCCAGGGCGGCCCTGCCCCTTCTCCATCGAGCACATCCTCTCCAGCCTGCCCGAGCGGAGCCCCCCGAGCCGAGCTGCCCGGCCTCCGCAGCCCGCAGGTCGCCAGAGCCCCGCGGAGTCTGTGGAGCCCGGGGCGCCGGAGGCTGTGCCTTGCACCTGCTGTTGCTGCTTCGGCCCACCCGCGACGCCCCGCAGGTCCCCGGAGGCGGCGCCCGGGCTGGGTGAGTGGGCACGGAGCGGGGCGCGGGGCCAGGGGGACTCGCCCCG